GGGGGGCGGGGGGTCCCGGTGCTGCCTTTGGAGGGGCCTGGAGGCCTGTAGGGCCCCTCGGTGGGCTCTGTGGGTCGGTTGTTTCCTGTGAGCGGCTCTTCCAGGGCCTGTGAAGGGAGAGGGAGGCTCTGGAGCAGGTTCTCAGCAGGGTGAAGTCACCCACATCAGGTCACAGCAGTGCTGGGAGTGTTTCTGGACGTCTGTCAGCAGGGAGGGTTGGCTGTAGGGCTTCAGAGCTGGGCACTGGACATACTCAGCTGCCGCTGGGTTGGGTTGAATAGACTTGAGGGGTTTCTGATTTGAGAAATTCCTTTGTGCTGTCTGTACCCTCTTCCCACTGTCAATTCCAGGCCATGCGAAAGATGCTCTGAATCTCGCCCAGATGCAAGAGCAGACCTTGCAGCTGGAACAGCAAGCAAAGCTGAAGGTACGGTGGAGCTCGTCGTTTGTTGTACAGCCAGCTCCCCTCAGGAGACCGTTGGGTTTGTGGGGGGGGTGAGTCCAAGCCTGGTGTGAGTCCAAGCCTCATTTTCTGGCTATCTGCAGAGGATGCTGAGTTTTTGTTGTTGCAGTTCAGCTTCAGCAAATCATAATTGTTTGCCTTTTTTTTTTTTAAAAAAAAGTAATTCTAGAAAGTGAAGTGCAGCTGATTTCATCTCTTCCTGGACACATTTTGTGGCTTTTTTACAACTTGCATGTTCTATGTGGTTTTGTAACTCCTACAATATCATCACTGCTTTTAGGGAATGACAACAGTTTGCTGCAGGGAGCTGTGACATAGTTGGGTGTAGCAGAGATTTCTATTTCTTTTATAAAGGAATTTGGGAATTGAGTGGTGTTTTTTTAATAAATTGTAGCTAATTTTGAAATGGCTAATTATGAGCTTGCTTACAATCATATTTTATTATCATATTTTAACTTTCTTGTGTCAGCTTTGCAGGGTACCACTCTGATTACAAACATATTTCTCGGAATATAGTTGTTACTAGCATTTCTTTATAGGGTGAGATACTGAGCTCATTTGTGATGATTATCTTTTTATCTTAATAGGAGTATGAAGCTGCCATAGAACAACTGAAGAATGATCAGATACGGGTACAAGCAGAAGAGAGACGAAAAACACTCAGTGAAGAAACAAAACAGCATCAAGCAGTAAGGGAATGAGGGGGAAGCCGTGTGATGGGAGACCTTGTTTGTGTTCTCCTTTATGGAAAAGGCAACAATGATTTAATTGTCCCTTTTGGGGGGCAGGGGAAAGGGGGTCATGGGCAACCATAGATGTGGGGCGATTCACAGACTGGATCTTCCACCCTGGCTTTGTAATGTTGAACTTGATTTGTAGTAATGTGCAGCTTTGTTGTCTCGCACTTTTGTTACCAAATTCTTGAACATCCAAAGGGACCCGTAGGAGCAGTGACTCTTATCGTGTGCTCTTCGAAATTTTCCTAAAGCAACTTTCAGGGAAGTGCTGTTGAACAACTGAGATACACTTTTTTGTGTCTAACAGCTGATGGCGTTGCAAGGTTGCAGTCTCCTGACTTATCAAGTGTATGTGTTAGCCCGGACAATGAAACGTCTCTGAAGTTATTTGGATTTCAGTCTTAAGCAGCCTGCAACACTGTTTCTCCCAAGTTTGACCTTTTAGACAGGAAAAAATACTTCCAAGAGGAGAAGTGATGCAGATCTAAGAGTTACCAGAGGCTGTGTTGTGAGCAATGTTGGTGCTTTCTGGGATGTTTTAGCCTGAGTTACTGAGGTGGCAATAATACCGAGATCAGGGAAGTGTAAGCTAGCTTTTATGCTGATAGCTCACATGGTGAGTTTTTACTATGAGAGCACAAGAAATTAGGGGGGTTGATTAATTCTAATTGATTATCTAGCTTGGGAAGATAGCTAAAACTGCTTATTTGTCTTTTATCCCGTCAGAGTTTGGACTTTGAACGGGGCGGGTTTCACAGTCATCCGCTCTGTTCATGAGTTGTCTCTTGAACGTCTAATCTTTATATTCTGTATACTCCTTTTTTTTTTTTAAGAGAGCCCAATACCAGGACAAATTGGCAAGGCAGCGCTACGATGAACAGATGCGACAACAGGTATGACAGCTTCCTTCTCTAAGAACGGGGCAGGTTTCACAGTCATCCTGTTCATGAGTTGTCTCTTGAACATCTAATCTTTATATTCTGAATACTCCTTTTTTTTTTTTTTAAGAGAGCCCAATACCAGGACAAATTGGCAAGGCAGCGCTACGATGAACAGATGCGACAACAGGTATGACAGCTTCCTTCTCTAACCCAGCTGGGGAACGTGTAGCAGCTCTAAGTCAAAGTGGTGATCTGGAGCAGTGCCCTGCGCTGCTGGCCAGGTGGCTGATGCTATGCACGGCTGCTTTCATCTGTACTGTTTGCTTGGCATCAACAGTGCTGGCCAGGAAAACAAAAGGTGGGGATTTAGGACAAAGCAGCTAGGAGTGTGGGATTGTGTGAATCTGGGAGATGGGGAGAGGAAGAATGCACTTCAACCTGAGCCTTAGCTTCTTGAGAGCACTTGTAGTACTGAAGTGTACACAAATAGCTACTTGACCAAGTTCTTACAACTTTAACACATCTTCTGCTGTCGTCTCTGCCTGTAGCAACTTGCTAATGAAGAGAATTTGAGGAAGCAGGAGGAGTCTGTACAGAAGCAGGAAGCCATGAGGCGTGGTAAGCTAGTCATTTTTCTTCAGCTAGTGACAGTGGGTGGGCAGATGAGTTCTCTGTACTGATCTTTGCCTCCTTATCCTTGTTTGATGCCCCATTAGAGTGATGTGTTACTGTCATACTGGCAAGTAAAGGGTAAATCCTGGTAGTTCTAGAACTACCAATTGGTTCTAAGATGAGTTTTAGAAGTGGCTGCACTCCCAAACGTCTGCCCTGTGGTACTTGGATTTCCCGATGAACTATCGGCATCTCCTGACAGAGCAGCTGAAATTCTGATTTTATACTGAGTCAATCTAAAATAGAACCCGTTCTGAGGAGGGAAGAGAAAATAGCTCCTGGGAGTAATGGTTGAATCTGTGTCACCTACTCTCCCTCCACTGTTTCCTGGAGAAAATAAAAGCTGAGTAGTGACATTTTAGTCTGAAACTTGCTTTGTTTCTTTTTGCTGTTATGGGATTTCCAGAATCACTGAGTTTATAGACCTCCAGTGGGGCTCTACTAGGTCACAGGTCTTAGAAATGTGAGTCGGTTCGTGTGTGACCAGGTGGGATGGGGGTCTGGTTTGCTCTGAACACAAAGGTGGGCTGTGATGTTGTCCGCACCTTCCCGCCATCTCGTGTACTCCCAGTGTTTGTCGGTATCTTTGGGGGAAGTATTGTACCAACCATGTAACAATGCTCAATGGTGAAATGCTGTAGGAGGGGCTGATTTTACTCCTGTAGTATCTGCCTGCGAACAGGCACAGGGATGTGAACGTCAAGGCAGCCTGTCCAGCATTCACATACCAGGATGGGTATGGGGTATCAAGAACCTGGGCGGCCCAGTCAAGATTTCTTGCAGTGACCCTGAAGTTAGAGGATGCTGGCTGTGAAATCCTCCTCTCATCTCCTGGGTAGTCGTTAGGTTTCTCATTCATTCTCTGTTCACATCAATCTTAATGTGTCTGTCGCAGTTCTGCGTGTCTGAAGTAACAGACCTTCCCAAATCCTCTTTGGACGGCGTTTTACAGGCCACGCAGTTTTGCTTCTCTTCCTTACAAGCAGTGCGTTACGCTGTGTGCGGTACTTGCCCAGGGTTGTCGTTCATTGTCTGTAGCATGTCACCCTTCCTGTCTGAAGGATGCTGATGAGCAGCAGCGGTGCCTTGCACTGTGTTTTTTCCCCTCTCTGTTGCTTTATCCCTTATTGTCTGGCTCATCTCTGGCTGAAGTTTGCCCTGAGCAATTTTTCTGGTAGTGAACTTCCAGACTTTTGTTTTGCAGTGTGCCATCTGGAGGCGGCCACCTAATTGGTGTGTGATCCCTCTGAGCACAGAGGGAAAATTCCTTGTCTGTCTTCTGTCCTGTTGTACTGGTTGACTGCCTTTTGGGAGAGGGTGGGAGGGAATGAAAGTCTGGAATTCTGCTGCTATGGGACCACGCACAGCTGTTGTGAAGCCAGGACAAAGCAATGTATCTCTTTCACCTGCCTGTTACGTGGAATTAAGCCAGCCCAAAAGATTGTTCTCTTTTTTCTTTTTAAAGCTACCGTAGAGCGAGAGATGGAGCTGCGGCATAAGAATGAAATGCTGCGCGTCGAGGCGGAGGCAAGAGCCCGTGCCAAGGCTGAGCGGGAGAACGCAGACATCATTCGGGAGCAGATCCGCTTAAAAGCTGCTGAACATCGCCAAACAGTGTTGGAGTCCCTCAAGTATGTGCAGGCCAGGAGAAGGGCATGGGTTGCCTTGCTGCTTTTGCAGATTTCTCCCATCATGTAGGAAACCTTGCTGTTTTATTCCTCTAAACTCTGAGGAATATCAAAAGTTAGTTTGTACACTGTTATACTCTGAACCATAGGAATTATATTAAAGAGAACCCTCTCTTTTGGTTCTCTTTCTACACTGTGATCTGAATGTCAACCAAAGACTAGTTAGACTGTTGTGAATTTTATACAGTTTTTCTAACAGATTTCTTCAAGCCTTATTTACTAAGGTTGAGACTCAATTACTCTGAAAACTCTTGAGTTCTTTCAGTTTCTGAACATATGCCATAAAAGTATAAAGCAGCCTGTCTCCAAAGGGAAACAAAAGAGCTTTAGAATTAAAGACCTTTTATTACAGTTCAGCAACAATAATGTATTAAAGAAAGAAATTGATACCATTTTAATGCCAAATGCTTTTCTGGATTTAATCCCAGATGGGGTGTAGACATCAGATGATTGTATGTTTGCCGTGCTGCTTCGTGTTTTGGTTCCCAAGTGAACCCTCAAATTAGCTTTGACTGATTCTGAAGATCATTATAAAGTTGTCTTGTAAATTGTTTAATTCAGTCTTTGAAACCCCTTTCTTTTGTCCTGCTTGCCTTGCTGTTTGCTTGCCACAGGACAGCTGGAATGCTCTTTGGGGAAGGATTCCGTGCTTTCGTAACAGACTGGGATAAAGTTACAGCCACGGTAAGATTGTGGCGTCTGTCGATAAGTTCTAGAAAAGTCTGTCTGTAAATGTCTGAACTAACTTCTTGCTCTGATATGTTTAGAAACTTTATGTGGAGTAGACCATGGGGTGAATTTGCTGCTCAGTCAGTGTTCTCTGCAGTCCTTGTTTAAGGAGACTGCTTCAGATTTTTGTGAAAATTTATTATCGTTGTCTTGGTATAGATAATTTGTTTCTCAGTGGTCTAGTAGTCCTAGTCTCTGGATCTTTAAGATTTTGCAGGACATGATCTAAGATTTGCTTTGCTGCTTATCTCACAATTTTGATGTAGCCTAGAGGGCACGTAGAGAACTGTTATGTGCGCTGAGTAAGTTGATTAAAAGCTGGACCAACATCTTATTACAAAACTTTACAGTGAGAAGCAGCATGGCTTGTTGAAGTGGACATTTTGCTTTAAGTCAGTCACCACTGTCTGTGCCACCCTCCGGTTTCATACACACAGGCAGATGCAAAAGACATTTTGCCCGAGTACGCTGGAGAGAGCAAGACGTGCTTTTAGTGGATCCTTTTGTAGTCTGTGAGCTGTACCTGGGACACCTGCGGTATCCGGAGCCTTTTGCAGATTAGTGCTCGGTGCTTTTCGCTGCTTATTCTCTTGACCCACATACCAGTTTCCTGCATTATGGTCATTTTTGCTTCTGTCAAGCTCTTGTCTTGTGAATTTGGGACATTTAGCTTAAAGGAAAAAAAAGTACATATATTTTTGGAAAGGATATAGCACAGCTGGAACTCCTATTTTTTGTTGCTTTGAAAAATGACTCTAAGGTAAGAATTTAAGAATTAGCCAGTTATTTTAGGGTTCCTCTAAATTAGCCCTGGATTTTCAGCTCTTCCTCCTTACTGTCAGGGCTCCTCTTTTCCTGTCTCTTCCTGTCCATACAACCTCAAAGGCTCTGCTCAAATATTTTTGGGTTTATTGGGGGTTTTTTTAAATGGAATTCACTTTGCTTATCGGTCAGGGATTCATTCCTTTGCTAGGTATTTAATGCTAAACAGACAGTGTAATCAGGCTGATGTGTGGAGTTGGCCTAGGGCATGTTACACACAACAGAGTTGCCTTGCTGAGTGTTTTTTCTAATCCTTCCCCCTTTTCTTTGCAGGTGGCAGGCCTCACGCTGCTGGCAGTGGGTATTTACTCTGCCAAGAATGCCACGGCAGTAGCAGGGCGATACATAGAAGCCCGTTTGGGCAAACCTTCCCTGGTGAGAGAAACCTCACGCATTTCTGTGCTGGAGGCCTTGAAGCATCCTGTCAAGGTAAGAGTTCACTTTGGTTTTGCGTTGCACTCAGCCATGAGGATGCAGAACTCCTTTTGCAGCTCTTTGTGTCAGGCAGGGCGCTGTCGATGGGTCTGTGGATAAATGTGCTATTAGAGATAGCGTAGGTGGGCTGAGCTCGTCATTTCATCTGACCTTTTTTTTTGTCCAGCTGAGTTGTCAAAACTGTGGTTGATTTCTACGTGACAGTAATTGAATTTGTCCTCTGTAGGTTGGTAAGCGTCTTACTAGCAAGGCTCAGGATGCCCTGGAAGGAGTTGTTCTCAGTGTGAGTACTCTGTTTTGTTATCTTAGTCTGTGAAGGATGACTTTGGAATCTAATTAAGAAAGGCTGTTTCCTTACGCTCCCTTCAAAAGCTGTGATTCCAGTAATTCTGGAGACAGAGCACCCTTGGGGCACTGAGAGCGTAAATAAGCTCCTGTGTTCAGTGTGACATGCGTTAAGCACTCTGTTAACCTTTTTTCCTCTGTGCAAAGCAGTTGGCAGTCCTAGCTCTGTCCTTGCCCTGCTGCAGTTTTTCACTGTAGTTAATATTCAGAGTTCCACTTGTCTCATCTGTAAAGGATTGCTGAACCTAGAGCTGCTCAGAGGCCAAAAAGCTGAAGAAGCACGTGCATGTGCCCATCTTGTGAATGGTTCTTCACTTGCTAATTAGGGCTTCTTCTGTCTGCTTGCTTCTGAATTTGATTCCTGGATAGCAGGTGAATTTAAGTGCTTCTTGAGGCTGCTGAGAGAAAATGTTCCTGCAGGAATAGCTTTCTCCCGGTATCTCTACAAATGCAGTAATGAATGTGAACATGAATGTTTGACTTCTATGAAAGAATTAGTACTGCAAAGAGTTGCTTATGTTTTGACATCTCTCTCCCAGGGCATCCAATAGGAAATGAATATTTAGGTGTTATCAGTTCTTACAGTAGCTACTACACTGCTTCCTGCACTGCTGCTTTTTCTGATAAAAGAACTGCAGCCAAGTGGACAGAAGTTAAGGCTTAAAATCTTGAGACTGTAGGAGTGCTGCCTGCTTGCTGGTACTGATCTGTGAAGCTGATAGGTGCAAGTCTCCTGGTACTTTCTTTTCCTTAAGTTTAACCCTTTTTCTTGCAGCCACAGTTAGAAGCACGTGTGAGAGACATTGCCATAGCAACAAGAAATACAAAAAAGAACAAAAGCCTATACAGGAATATTCTTATGTACGGTCCTCCCGGCACTGGAAAGACACTCTTTGCCAAGGTAAAACCCTGCCAAGGTTCTGACAACCTCTACGTTGCAGGGTGCCCTGGAAACTTCAGGGTCTGAGCACCCTCTCTAGTCTGAAATCTCTTGCTGTAGTATTGCATCAACTTTGTGTTCTTGTGTCTGTGTTGGGAGAGGAGGAAAGGGCATCCAGCCTGCTTCAGCTCTAAATTAGTACAGTCACTTGGATTTTAGAGCTAAGCGTAGGCAGAAGAGCCCTTCCATCTGGAAAAGGCACTTGGCAACTGTGGCTTATGAAATCACAACACCAGCCTGCTGTCTCGTTTCCACCTCTCTTAATTTTATGCACTTGTCTAAATAGAGTCTTTCCTGCTGTCGCTTACGAATCTCGGAGCAGAGAAGAGAGAGGTATGGTTCTGCTGTGCATATGTGCTACCAGGATGGTTTTTGCATTAATTTCAGACAGGATTTGATTTTTTTATTTGCTCTTCAGTGCTTGTGTACTAGATCTGAGGTTTCATGTGCTTGTTCAATAGTGGCAGATTTGATGTCTTGATGCAAGTTGAATTTTGTTTTTCCTCTGTCAGTGCAATAAACCTGTATCCTAATAGTTTTTGCTGCCTGTTCTGACAGTACATCACCTCGTTCAGATTTCTAAAGCCACTAGAGAGGGACTGGGAAATGGCAAGGGGATGGTGGTGGTAGCAGTGAAAGATTGGAGCGGGTAAGAAGGAAGATGTATTGCCACAAGACTAATCTTCCATCTCTGGTTCCCATTCGGAGCAATGCTAAAAGCTGCCCCTAGGTGACTAAGCAGTATTCTCTTTTCTAAGAGCATACCTACCCTCTGCAAATAAGCATGCTGATAGGACTGAACTGCTTTTATTTCCTTCCTCATCTTCTGGGGTCTTGCAGTGAAAGAGAATGCTTAATGTAACTGTTTTTTTTTTCCTTCCAGAAATTAGCGGTGCACTCGGGCATGGATTATGCCATCATGACCGGTGGCGATGTTGCCCCCATGGGGCGTGAAGGGGTTACTGCCATGCACAAACTCTTCGACTGGGCAAACACCAGTAGGAGAGGGTAAGTAGAGATTCTTCTCAATCCTGAATTTGGTTTCATGCTCAAAGAAACTCCCTGCAATGATGTAGTTCAGACTCCTGATCTCTGATTTGAATGATGCTCTTGCACAGAGGAGATAGAACTGATCAGGCATAACATCTCCTAAAGTTTTCCTAGAATGGGTGAATTCTTGGTGCTTAGTATTTAAAAGGCTGAAAGCTTTTGCTCTTCTGCTCCCTCCCTTCGTTTGCTTCAGATTTTCCAGATCACTCATAGCTTGGCTCTCTGCTGATCTCGCCAGGAGAGAGATTGCCCACCTAGAGGCTAGGACACACGGCTTTCAGAGTGATTAGTTTTCTGACAGTAGTTGTAAGGTTTGGCACAAATGGAGGTGCAACCAGGTGTTTACACTCTCTGGATATTATGTTCCCTATTGTGATTGCTCAGATTTTAGACTCTGATGGTGTTTGGATCTGGCTTCTTATTTACTTTTGAGTTTCAAGTGGAAGTAGTGAATTATAAGAAATAAAGGAGGATAAGAGGCAGACATGCTAAAGGCATTGATATTAGATAGGTGTATTTCAGTCACCTTTAAAAGTAAAATTTTATCTGCAGAAAAGCATTCCTGTTGAGGTTAAATCTTGACTCCCTGATTTTGTGAGTATGTAGTTAATTTGTTCATGTTAGTGTAAATGGATTTTTGCAGTCCAGAGGTAGCTAAGAAGTTGCTTGTCCAGCCAGCATAATAAAATTCAGTAGAGAACTTGCAGTGGGTGTCAGCTTGGGGTTTTTTGGTGCTTTTTTGATCACTGGTGTTCTGTAAATGGGGCTAACCAGTGATGTACGTGTTCTCTCATTGCTTCAGATGGACATTATCTTGCAGTGTCTGTTTTAATCCTTGCTGCATTCATCATCTAAATGTTTCTATCTCCCCTTTGAAAAAAAAATAAAAAAACTTTCAGAGTAAATGTCTTAAGGATTTCAACTCTTCAAGCTTCTCTTACCCTGAGGAGCTAGAGAAGGAAAGGTGTAAGAATTTAAGTGAGCTTAGAAAAAGAAGTTGGAAGAGATACAAGGACACTCAACTGGATGAAGACTGCTGGATGCTTCCACTAAAGAATTCTTTCACAGCACTGCCTGGGTCTGAATTTATTTTCTATCCTGATAAAAACTTCGGTGCATTTGAACTTCATACAGTTCAGATAGGCATGAGAGTCGTGATCAAAGGTTACGTGTGTCTATTATATACATCACTATTGTAACCTCCAGTGACATTCAAGTATTTAAGCAGATTTTATTTTGGATATCCAGCAATGTTAGCTGTTAGCACTGTGTTGCCTTCATTAGCTGAAAGCCGCTGTGATGGAAGACATTTCTCTGCAGAGACTGTAGCTGGGAATATTTTCAGAAAAACTGCAGTTGACTAAAAGATGTTAATAGGCCCCAAAATCCCTCAGAAGAAAGCTGCTTTTGAAGCTAGGCAAGAAGGTAACACAAGCTGTGACAGCTTTATGAGCAACTTGGTTCTGTTATTGGTAAACATCTCTGTACACTTTTTCTCTGGGGAAGAACGCTGCCCTTGGGTTATAAGTGAATTTATTTTTGTGAATTATTCATTGACTTTATTAATTCACTTCTCCACAGGTCGTAAAACCATGATGTTATTGCTAGTGTGGTTTGGAAAGGAAAAACCCAATAAAATAACAAAGCAAGTTGCAGGGGAGGACTATGGTTTCAGGTTTTCAGAATAGTACAAGGAAGAAAAATGGCAGGAAGATGCCATTGCCGCTAAGATTTCTTGTATGCTTGCGTACCTGCCTTGTACCCTTGCACACATTTTGCTAAATAGGACAGAATGTTAGAATATTGCCTTAAGAAATTAATTTGCTTGTGTGATCCTTTGGGCTTACAGCTGGTCACGGTTATGGGTGCCTGGTAGCGGGACAGAACCCTTGAGCCGTTGGAGCCTCACTTACCTGTCTCCTGTTACTGTGTAGTGCTTTCTTTTTACAGCCTCTTGCTGTTTGTGGATGAAGCGGATGCATTTCTGCGGAAGAGGGCAACAGTAAGTGCTTTCTTTATGTCCATGATCAGTGCATGCTGCAGAGTTAGCCAGCAGCCTTCGTGTCTAACCTGATTAGCTAGCTTCAGCAGGGAAAAGATTAAAGCTGGCAGGAGCCTTACTCCTCACCTAATGAAGTGATGCAGAGACAAGAAATTGGTGTCCTGCAGCTGAATGGAATGAGCATCTCAAGACTGCCTTGAGAATTCCTCCCTGCAAGAGATGGGTGACATCATCTTTTTGGAGGTTTTGCAGGTGACTTGGCAGTAGGAAGGAAAGAGGCACATCTTGAAAACAAAAGAAGATTGTTCACACTGCAGAGCTGGTACCCTGCAGGGTTTTGGTTTTGTCCCAGCAGATATTTATCTTGGGAGAGGTTTTCATAACAGAACTGCTTTTCACTACGTGAACAAAGCCACACTAGCAGCTTCCCCTGGACAAATGATTTATGTTTTCAAAGTCAGTCACCATATTGTACACTGAATCTGGACCTGCTACATGAACGTCAAAGCTCTATTTAAAGAGCTATCCCTAGAAAATTACTTTGAATGTATAAGTGAATCCTTTGCTGTGGTTTACTTTCCTGTAAATATTTTATTGGATTTCCCATGTAAGATAAAAAAAAAAAGACACCTGGGCCAATAGTTAGAGCCTTGCATTTGAAATCCAGAGAATCTCTGACTGACTGGGTAAATATTTAATCTCTCTGCCAGAAGCTTTAATTCCTAACCCTTTTCCTGGGTATAGGAAAGGAGCAAAAATTGCTCCTTTTTTTTTCAAGGTATTACAGTGCTTTGGAGTCTACTGTAATGCATATGCTTGACAATAATGGAACTCACTTTTGTCAATAATTCTCCTTAAATCTGTGACCTGTCTTAAGTCCCCAAGCAGCTGATATTCCTTTGAATTTCATTTTTGCAGGAGAAAATCAGTGAAGATCTCAGAGCAACTTTAAATGCTCAGTCCTTACAGCAGCTAGTATCTCCCTGAACTGGGGAAAGCCTGTGAAGAGAAACGGAGGAATCCCAGCGCTGTCTCCTTCATGGCTGCTAATAGATTTGCTAAACACGGATGATTGCAGGGCTGACCTGACAGCTGTGTGTGAATTTCACTGCCAATCCATCCATGCTTACTTTGCCACGTTAATGTTAACTTCCCGCAGAGCATGCCTTAGTTTAACAAAAGCCATTTCCTGGCTATGTAATAAATAGATGACCTTTCCTCGGCTTTTTTCAAATACTCTTTGATTTGATTTTTTTTTTGGTATGTGTGTGAACTTAGTTGTTAAACTTATTTTTTAAAGAAATTGAACAAACAAGAAGAGTTGTCTCTGTATGTTAGAATATGAGTTTCTCAGTGATGAGCTCCTAGGTGATCTCTAGAAACGTCTTCTGCTCTGTACTTGGAAAGATGATAAAGATGTTTAGGTGGAACTGCAGAGCTTTTAAGAATAAGAGTGAATGTTTTAGCTTTAGGTAGTTCTCCCTTTTTCTAGGAAATAGTCCTTTTTAGCCTTGCAATGTCAACTTTTGCTGGATCCACAGCAATTAATCTTTTTGACTGGATGTATAATTGCACTGCAAGGCAGTGACTGGCAGGGGGTGGTGAGGGGATGGTTCTTTCCCCTGATGTTAAATTAAATTGCTGTAGCAGAGCTCTGGGCGTGCTGGTAGGTGCTGTGCCTCCACTCAAAACAGTTGGGCTGTCATTTTGTCAGATGTTTAATTCAACCCTAATTTAAACTGTGAGCCGTTCTAGGAGACTGAACGTGTCCTTGTGATTCATGCACTGCTTTTTACTTCTGAACAGCCTGATTGCTGCTTTGGGCAATGAGTCCTGTATCCATGAATGGGAGTTCACTTGAATAAGTGTAACAGTGCATGTAAATCCAGCTGCTCTGAGACACTGAGGAGTGCTGTGACTTTACCAACCAAGTACTGAGCATTGTGAATTGCTGGCTTAAGCTTCCCAAAGAACCTTCTGCATCTTCTTGACGGATAGCTGACTGTGCCTGCATCTCTTTTTCTCTTGCTCATTAGTGTCACAAATGAGCAAAGCCTGAATACAGGTTGCACATCCATCCTTTATCCAGGCTGTGTTTCTGCAGGGGTTTGGGGGAAGTCCTTATCGGTAGAATAGTGCCTGTTTGGTGACGTTATCTTCAGAAATGACGGCAAAGAACACAGCCCCCTGTAGACTAGAAATTAAATAGACTGCAAAAACATCGATGTTCAGTAGCTGTGGTTAAAAGCCCATTGCAAGTTATAATGCACTATTAAGCTGGTAACATCAATTAAAGCATTAAAGTAGAATTGGCATGGGGAAGAAGCGTCATTCCAAAGCAAAAGAAAGGGCTTCTGGCTTCAGAATGCAGCGGGAGAGAGCAGGACCTGGAAGCTGGCGCATCTGTACGGTGGTGCAAAGCTTGGTAAAACAAACCACCGTTGGTTTATGGTACCCGTTCGGAATGCCTCTCTGCGCATGTTAGACTTGGTAGCAGGATGGTATTGTCAGACTTGCTTGAAGGAAACAAGTCAACTTTTACCAGCTGCTGAAGAATGACCTCCCTGTGCACAGACCCAGCAGTGTCCATACACAGACCTAGAGACCGGGGCACTCCCCTTATTCTTAGGCCAGGATGAGTCCATTCAGTGCTCTGCAGCTTTCAGTCTGGCAGCCATTCGTACCTTCAAAGCAGGACTAAGAGAGCCCCTCATGGTTCTAAGGTGCTGTGCAGTTAGCAGCTTAAAGTCAGTTCCCCAAACTGAGATTTAAACTGGAGACATGTGCCAAAGAACATCTCTCCGTGTTGTCCAGCCTTGTTCCAAGGTTTCGGATTCAGAGGTCTCTGGGAGGTTGTACTCGTGCTAAATGTTTGTGCCATTCCTAACTCGAGGGAAATTGAGGGTCAAGTGATAACTTAGGCTTCTGTGGTAAGGCCAGACTGGGGAAGGCTGATACAGGAAGGCTGAGTACCGAGTTAAATGCATTTCAGTTCTAAACAGTTTAAACTGCGCTGTGTTTTAGTATGTCACTTGAGATGTTGTTACAAAGCTGTTTCTAAGGAATCTTCAGAGATGTCAGATGATGAAAGGTCTCTGATACCGCCTGTGCCAGTTCCCAATGTTCAGACTGTTTCATTGATTTTTATTTTTGAGCTTTTTTTTTTCTCTCTTGTTTCATACTTCCAGGTTTATGCTTGTTTTAGCAAGCAACCAGCCTGAGCAGTTTGATTGGGCTATCAATGACCGAATAGATGAAATGGTGAACTTTGATCTGCCCCAGCTAGAAGAACGGGAGCGGCTTGTGAGAATGTATTTTGATAAGCATGTCTTGAAGCCAGCCACAGAGGGTAAACAGTGAGTATCCCTGCAGAACTCTCCCACCGTATAGGATTCTCTTTCCTTTCTTCTTGTGCTTCTCCTTTTCTGTGTATTCTGTCACACTGTCTATAGATCCCCTTTAAACAAATGGTACAGATAAGAGTTGGAGAGATGCCTCTTGCTATCCTGTTAGGGGATGAGGTGCCATCCTAGAATTTCAAGCCATGGTTTGTTGTGTACTTAAAATTTAGGAGACTGGAGGCAATAATGCAACTAGGAGCTCTGTTGGAACTCCTCCTATCCAAGCACTTGTCCTTGCTTGGCTTAACAGAGACAACTCAGACCAAGTGACTTGTTTCCTAGTATTCTGTGCAGTTGTGCACTTTTTTGGTCTTAATCCAGGTACACATCTTTCTTTCTGCCACAAAATCAGGTTTTCTGGGCCCAGGAGAACAGCTTTTGTACTCAGGCTGGATCTTGCTACAGAGATTGATCTGATCTTTGATTTCATTTTAAGTGTTGCTCTTTACAGAGCCCACCTCTACTCCCTCACCCTCCTGTCATGTGGCCACATGCAAACTAATCCTTGTCCTTCTGCTTTGTAGACGTTTGAAGCTGGCCCAGTTTGACTATGGGAAGAAGTGCTCGGAGATTGCCAGGCTGACAGAGGGCATGTCTGGCCGAGAGATCTCTCAGCTTGCTGTGGCGTGGCAGGTACGTAGGGCTTGTGTCCCTGGGCTTCGTGGTCTGTTTCCCCTTTCTGGCAGGTTTGAGTGTTTGGTGTTGGAGTCTCAAACTTTGGAAGTTTCATGATGTCCATACAGTAATACTAGAATGCTGCTAGCTCTAGGGTGGGCGTCAAAATGTCAGCATAATTCCTCATTTCATAAACAGGAATAGTTTTTATAATCACTCATGGGAAATCCCTTACTGAATTTAAGCAAAGCAAGTGGCTTAGGAAGGGGTTTGAGCAGATCATGCTGGCCATTGCTCGAGTTCCAGCTCAAGAAGCTCGGCAGGGGAGATGCCTGTGTTGTGGCCCATGGGTATGGCGTTACCAGGACACGAAAACATCCTCCTGCCTGCTTTGTTCTAAACACATTTTTAGTGCAATTTGAGTAACTGAAGGAACAAAGCTAACTGGAAAATGGAGCTGAAAAGACTGGGTACTTCTACATGCATGTTACCTGTGTTGGAGTGCCATTCACATGCTCGACAACTTTTCGGCATTTTTTTTTTATCATTATAAAGACCTGGGGTGCTTGTCTTAAACTGAGTGATTAGGGAGAGAAAGCAGACCACTAATTGTCTAATTAATTGTCTACTAATTGTAGAATTTCTTTATTTCTCTTCATTTAGAAGAGAACCCCCTTGCCCGTGTATGTGAAAGGCTTTGCTGCCAGGCATTTCCTGTAATAAAAAGTTGTGATAAATGATGCTCGCTTTTTATCAGCTTTGCTTTTTATCACCCCTTATCTCTAGCCTGTCATTACTCCTCGGGAATGACCTCAGCTTTTATCATTTATCCTTTAAATGATCTTGAAGGAAGGGAAAGGTGAGGATGACTAATTCCTTAGTGGTGTTGCCCGGAGCATTTTTAAAAATGTACCTCATAGCGCTAGAACTAATAGCAAGGTTCTGGGTAAAATTGCAGCAGAAGGTTACATTCTTCTCTGCTGTCATAAAACAGTAAAAGGGCTTAAAAAAAAAAAGATGCAGGAGAAACTGGGCAAAAAAAAATGTTGTTTTGATATGTTTGATGTGTTTATGCCAAGTTTGGCTCACTGACTTTCGACTTGGTAAAACCAAACGCAGGTGTTAACTAGGTAAAATATTGAGCGTAGGGTACCTAACCCAAGCTGATCCCTTGAACAGCATTGGTATTTGGGGGCCTGGCTCAGCGCTAACAGGTAGGTTGTTGTGGGTAGTGTTGTAGCTGATAGGATGCGCTCTCCAATCAGCGAAGGGTTACGGCTGCTGTTTGACAAGCAGTGTTAGTCCTGCCTGCTATTCCTGCCTTCCTGCTCTCCTTCCCCCAATGCTGGTACACCTCTCTGCGTGGCTGTGCTCTGAACTGGGTCAGGGAGCTGATCAGAACTAAAAATAGCTTGGCAAGGCACGGTAACTGCATAGCTGCACTTGTCCTGGCACATCTGAGGATGGATCGGGGAGGTAGGGGCTATATGAGTGAGCATAACCGCCTCAAAATGCTCATCAGGCTTTCCTGGGCTGGATGCAGCAGCTGTACGATAGGTATGTACTACAGGTAGGACTGTTAACTCTTGAACCGTTGGTCTTCTAAACTCCCATATAACTGAACTTCTGATTCAGGATTCTGTGTGCCAAAGATGGTTCATGTGGGAAATAACCTGATGTGAGCAGCACCTTTTGAACACACACTTGAATTTTAATCGGTTTTGCAAACTGGAACATGATGGTATGATGTGCCTTGGATGTGGGGAGCTGTCAGGAAGCTACAAGAGGGCTTAACCTGAGGATTTAGGGAGCTTCTTCTGAGTTAAGGTGAATGTCTGGACTTCCCACTCAGTTCCCTACTTGCAGTTGCTTTTTTTTCCCTTCTTTCCACCCAAAACATGTCAAGTTAACAACACAGGCAGGAAGAGTTTGAGACAATGTACAAGTTGAGAAGATGAAGAGCCAAGAAAAGGAAAAAACAAGGCATCTGTCCTCACAGTTCTGTTTCTGATCTTAGTGACACCTTCCAGGGCTGGTAAACAGCAGATGTCACGAGCCTACTGCTCTTCAGAAGTCCTCAAAGCAGACTTGAAACAACTGCTTCTCGAGACATTTAAGTTTCCAACATTTTTCTAGACAGGCTCATCACACCAGCTGCTGAAATGCAATGTGCCCAAGGTCTTTGTTTAATAAATAAATTCAATTGACCCCTTCTAGGGAAGATGACACCACAAAGCCCCAGTGACAACTGCCAGTTGTGAGTGCTGGAGCACAGAGCTGGATGGGAGCATTTTGGTTGCCTTTTGTTTTCAGCTCCTTTGCATTGTGCCCTGATGTGATTTGGAGCTAATCCTCGGTGTGTAGGCTTAATTGCAACGTGCCTGTCACTTAATTCACCTCAGCTTTGTATATGCATTCTGTTAATTAGTTTATTCCTCCAACAGTTACTTGCAGCGTTGCTGTCTGTATGCGTTACACCTCTGTAGACATGTTTTAGAACAAAACCTTAACCAGGGACTGGTCAATGGAGACAAATGCAGAGGGAGCAGACTGGCAGGCTTAATCTATGGTGAAGTGTTGCTCTGCTCCACAGGGTCTGTCCTACTGCCTCCAGCCGACAGAAGCCTTGTTGCTTGCAATTCTGTGTCATCGAATAGATAACAGGACTAGAATCAAATCACCCGTGAAGCACAGGTGGTACTAGGAAAGGCAGTGAGGGATCTGCATTGCTGCTCCTGCTTCCATCCCTGAATCTGCAGAAGTGCTGGAGGACATGGACAGGGAGCACAGGAAGGTTTTTATCATGGACTTGATGGAGTTTTGAGATGCTGGGATCCTCATCAGCTCTGCTTAGCTTGCCCTGGAGCCATCTCTCATGGCCAGAACTGAGCCTCAGAGATGGTTTGGGGAAAAGTGAAGTTTGAGACAGTAAGAGAAGAAACCATCCGAGCTGTCAGCTCTTAGCCAGAGTGACCCAGAGCAGCAGCGTGTGGCCGCTCTGCTGTCCCATGGAAATGTTTTTGGAGTGCTCTGACAATATTGCTTTTAACATCTCAGTTAAACTAGAAGCCTAAGTAATAGCTGCAACTTTCATAAGCTTAATTCCACTATAAACTGGCCTTGAAATTGATCGTCTTGTCATTTACATGAAGTTCTGCTTCACTGTTGTTTCAGTCTGGCTCAGTTTGTCCTGAATTTACTAAACAGAGAAAAATAAGCTGCAGAAAAGCAGAGAGTGTAACCTCTAGCGCTGGCAAAATATATTGCTGTCTGGCACAGCTAATGGTCTGCACGCTACACATCCATTTTAATGTCTTCTGCAGGAGCCTGAGCGTTCCCTTCTGTCGTTCTGTCCCCTTAGCTCATCTTTTATCAGTAGAGCACGGATTAGATGCATTTACACACTTCAAAATTCCCTTCAGATCTTTTTATAGTGATGTGCAGACTGTTTAGTCCCGCACCCCTTGAACACATTGACATGCTTTAGATAAAATGTCAGAAAAGCAACCTTTCGCTCTCCCGAGCTGTAACCTCTGGGAAATTGTTTTGGCAACACTTCAGGAGAATTCCCAGGAGTTTTATATCCCAGAGTTAACGATAGAGGCGAGCTTCCTGTCATTTCCTTGCCTTTTGTGCCACTGACATAAATGCCTTTTTGCTCCCTTAATGTTAAAACATGTTTGCTCCTTAATGATGCTTAAAAAAATAAGATAAATCGTCTGCCTGACCGAGGTATGGGAAGAATTTAATGTTCTGATAGTGGGCAGAGCTGTGGGGGGTGTGCTTGTGTTTTGGGGTTTTTTTCTGGTGGACTGTTTTAATTATAAATGTGATGCAAAGAATACAGATCAGTCTGGCCAAGTTAAAATAAACCATGGCTCTTGGCTGAAATGAAACATGAGGTCACCTGGGCTGGGCTCGTTATCTGTGCTCCATCCCTCTGCTTCCCTCCCCAAACGCTTTGTTTGCAGATCATTTCGTGATTGGATTCGAGCTGTAAAACATGAATAGCTGCACTGGAGAAAAGGGGTTAAAATGTGTCCATGCAGAAGGCAGAGGTATGAATAGAAATGAAGCGCAGCACAGTTTCTGCGTGTGCGCGAGCTACTCCTGGAAGGGACAGCTGCTTCTCCCATTTGCTTTCTCGACAGCCAGGGCCTGGGGCTTGCTATAAATAGAAAGTCATTGAGAAAATCACCAGAGCGTGAACTGCACAGCTTTGCAGGAGTTTCCACAGTCGAATTTATGGTCTATGCGGTGGCAGGGAGGAAGGGAAGACATCCTCTCTGTTCTGCGGAGGCACATAACGCGCAGCCCGGGAAGGCACACACTGCATGTGAAACCAGCAGCTCTCCTGGCTGGAGGGCTGCGCTGACAAAAGGAGCTGGCTGCTTTTAGCTTTAACTCTCTGGTCGTGTCCTGCAAAAAAAAAATACAAATAAAGAGGAGGCTGGCTTGGTTATGGGGGTGACTTGGAGAGTATGTTTCAGCTGAGCAGAACATCTCCACCGTGTCCCTTTTATGGTGGAGAGAAGACAGGTCACGTTGCGGTGCGTGTTGTATAAATATTGGTGGCAGCAGGCGGGTTCTGGAAAGGGTGCTCTGCTGGTGTTTGCCAAAATAACTGCCTGGCTGTGCTCAGGATGCTCTGTTGTTGAATACAAAGGACAAGTGCCTTTATGCAAAGTGAATTCTCTCTTTGCAGACCTTCCGTTCCTCTGCGCTTGCTCCTCGCCTGCAGCCTGTGTTTACTCCAAGCACAAGCATTAGCCTGACTTGTCACTCTGCCCTAAGGAAGGATTACAAAGGTTTTGCAAGGGAAGAATCTGGTTTGATGCTTCTCGCAGTGAAAACCAGCGCCTGCCAGCTCTGCGGTCCCATGTGGCTTTTTTTGGGGGATGTGAGAGGCTGGAGGGGGTCCCACCCGGGTGAGTGTCGGGCTCCCTTGCTAGCGGAGCTGTACACGGAGCCACAGCGCTGGGGGGCTCGCAGGAGCGCTTGCACGGGGAATAGCCACATTTAGAAACCTGCAGCTTGGGGTTGCTGTGTTTCCTTGGAGATGGGCTGTACAGGAACGGTGTAAGCGTCCTCGCCTGCCTTGGAGGGTACGCCTGCCTGTGTTGGCATCTGCAAAATGTCCATCGGTGGTGGCCTCGCTGTCCCGCAGGTTTGGATGACAGTGACAGTCCTTCTGCTGCAGCCGAAGGGAAACGGCACGTGCTCCTGTTTCCCTTAAACCACCACTGGGAATCCTGTGGGCTGCTTGGCAAGGATGGCAGGAGTTTTCAGCCCTTTCTGCAAGGAACTAGGATCAGTTTTGTACTGCCTGTCAAAGCAGCAACAGGACCAAGGGGTAATTTACCAAGACAGGAGGTGGGGGATGAGTGGAGGAGGGGGAAGGGGAAGGTCCCACAGGCAGGTGAGCATGGGACCAGCACTGCTTTTAGCTCTCCTGTGGGAGCATTTAAAACATTTCTTGTTGTTTGGCTGGAGCCATTCCATCGCCGTATGCACCCATTGCTCTTTACCTCCTTGGCTTTCCCCACGCAGCACTTTCAGAGGAGGAGAAGAGTTGGAACGAGCCAAGCATGCCGGCAGCGCTGCGTTCAGCACCGTGAACCTGCGGCATTGCCTCTTCTGAAGGCAAAGATGTTGGAGAAGAAAACAGAAGAGAGACCAGTCTCAGATCTTCACTGATCTTAGGAATTTCCATCCCTAACTCACGTCTCCTCTCCTTTTGCCCCTCCAGGCTGCAGCTTACGCCTCAGAGGACGGTGTTCTGACAGAGGCCATGATCGATGCCCGGGTGGCTGATGCCGTGCGGCAACACAAACAGAAGATGGAGTGGCTGAAAACGGAGGGGGCTGAAGGGAGCAAAGCCACAAACCCACTCCTGCCTTCCCCCCAAGGAACACCGGTGTGAGATGTCTGCAGGCTCCAGACCAGCACGGGTGGGGAACTGGGGGTGAGAGACGGCTGGGAGGGTTTCATGGAATCATGTGTTGAGAGAAATGTGTCCATTGGTGCAAGAGAGGGGGTATTGCCTTGGTCTGCCTTTGATTTCATGGTTTTAGAGTGCACCAGAAAAATAATTGTTAAATAAGGCAGAAGCAACTGTATTAAAGGACCCCCTTGCTGAAATACCCCCGACTCTGTTGCTCTGTGTGGCCTGTCCTGCTGGAGAGCCCCAGACTCCAAATCCTTTCCAGCCATTTGGCGCTGTTCTGGAGTGTCCAGTGACATGGACCTGTGGGAACCCAGCCTCTCCGAGCCTGCTGCTCCCGTATATGGAACTTGGCAGGGTTTACGCTCCAGCAGAGCTATTTCTCCTGTTTTTGCCACAGATCCACCTTGCTCCCATCTCTGTAGCCATCACTTCTTGCTCTCTTGTCGTCCTTTCCCAGACTGAGGGTGGGCTTTGGGTTGGAGGTGTGTTAGGCGGGGGTCACAGCTGCAGCTGGTTAGCTGGAGCCAGCACTGGAGATACTGGGCAGCCCGTGGGACACTGCTGAGCTGCAGCAGGAAAGGCTGCCTCCCCGGTGCCGGTGTGTCTGTTCTCACTGCACAGCCTGCAGGGTTTGTTTGCTTTTTCCAGCCACATACTCACTGCTGCTGCTGCAGCTGCCCTGAGAGCAGCCCTCGGTTATGTTTTCCCCCAAGTCCATCAGCTCTCTCTTTAAGGAGGTGAGTCAGTCCCAGTAACTGGCATACTGGTGCCCAGCATGGTCTGAAGAGGGAGAGAGGAGCAGGGTTTGCGTGCTGCTGGCTGCTGCCATCAGGCTGCTCTCACTACACGAGCCTCTTGCTGCATTTCTGGAACCAGTGAGAAATGTGCTGTTGTCACGTCGTGAACACAAGCCTGTCTCCATCAGATGACACTTGTTCTGTCTGTGTGTGTATGAGATGGTTTGGAAAATCTCTTGTTTTTTCTTTTCTTTTTCTGAGTTTGAACTGGATTTGAACTCTGCGCTTTGCTCCGCGTCCCCTTCTGTAACTACGCTGCGCGAGAACATTTCTCTGACCCAAATCCGTGCCCTTGAGTACCTCGCTGAGCTGTCCTCCTCCGACAGGAGCTGACAGTGCTCCGCTCTGTCCCTTTGCCTGGCGGTGTGACGGAGCTTTGAGAGACGCGCTGACAAGAGCCGGTGAGCAGGGGAGCGGAGCAGTGCTGGGCACCAGCGTCCTCGGAACAGAGCCTTGTGGGACAGCGGGAAATAAATAGTTCTTGAGGCTGCAAACCTTCCCTGGCTTGGGCTGCCATCATCGCTCAGAGGAGCGCTCTGTGCCCTGGATGCCACGGGAGGATTTGCAGATGCGCTGCAGAAGCTGCTCCTTCGCTGAGGACAGCTGTCCCCCGGCAGCGGGCTCTGCCCGGGCTCTCGTGCCCCACGAGCACTTGTTGCAAGGTACGTTGCTGTGGAGTCGCTGCACAAACTGAAATGCAATACTTCATGTTCTGGATGACTAAAATAAACTTGAATGCTTTTTTTTTCCTCTCCTCCAGCCTAGCTGTAGTTGTCCACTGATTTACTAGAGGAGCAGTTATTGCAGGCTTTCCCCTTCCTATGAAGATTTGATTAGAATTATGTTTCTGTTAAGCCCCCAGAGATGGAAGGGAGCTAAGCAGAGCTGCTCTCTGCTAAAAAAAACCTTGTTAATGATTTCTGTGAGGGAGCAGGCTGATAATGTGCGATTGAAATCTCTAATTGCACCTTCATCAGTTTTCCTCTCTTCCATCACCATCCCCACGAAGCGCAGAAGGAGCCGGGGGAAGGGAGAGGCACGCTGTCCCTGTGCTCACTGCGCTTCTGCGTCTGCCGGGAGCTGGGCAGAGCATCCTCGTAAAGCCGGGTGAAGGACCCAGCAGCCGCTGGCTCAGCTGTTCTTGCGATTCTTCCTTCACATCACGCCCAGTGCTTGTACCACGGGGAACGATCCTGCTCCCGCGCTGTGCAGCCGTGATTAACAGCAGCTTTGGGAGAACAATTAGCGAGAAGTAGCCTCTTGCTGAGGCAGGGAGGGCTCACAGGTACGCTGCATGAGTTTTTCAGGGCTTTCAGCGACCACTCCTAACGATGGATGCCACAGTCCTTCCCTGAGCTTTGCTGCGTGGGCTTCGGAGGGATGGATGGGACTGGAGATGGGTGTGTGGATGCTTTTGAGACCACAAGGAAACTTGAGTGTCGCTGGAGCACGTGGAGCCGTGGCTCTGGCGTGACCCACGGGCTGGTGCTTGTATCCCCAGGGGCAAAGTTCTTCCCCCTTCTCGGCAGCCCTGCCATCGTTCAGCTCCTGCCTCATCCCTGTCACCTCCACCAGCCCCACCAGCGCCTTTGGTTTGCTGTCAGCTCCCGGGGTCAATGATGTCCCCGCAGAGGTGGCACCCAGCTGGCAGTTTGTTAACACTCAGGGCTGGGCTATGGGATGGCGACGCCAGGCTGAGGTTATCTCCCCTCCGTGACAGCCAGTGAGGGATGAGCTAATAGCGCTTGATGAAAATAGTGTTTGGGACCGGAGAGCACAGCGCAGAGCAGATGGATTAGCCAGCCATCCGTCACTCCCCGGCCTCGCCGCTGCCAGCTGAAATGCTCCGGCAGCGCCGCTGGAGACAGATTTATAACACAACATCTATCTGTCTATCCTCGATTGCCATCCATTCCAGGTTTGGGTTTTGAATGGGATACGTTGGGAGGAAAGTTCCCCGGTGCAAGGACAGGAGTGCCGCGTGCTTGCTCGTGTCCTGGGCTGTGGGACGTACAGGAGACACGAGTCTCCCCGCGAAGTATTTCTCTGCCAACCTGTTTGTGTTTGGAATGGAGAAGAAACACTCAGCTTCTTTTATAATCCACTCTGGCTGTTCCCAATTTATTGTAACATCATTATTCTCCCTGGGGGTTTGGGGTTTTTTTTAAATGGCCAATGTGATTGATCTCTCCAGCCCATAATGCAAGTCCCTGGGCAGCCTTGCTGCTCCGGGAGGTGCTTTGCTTCTCCTGCAGCCGGGGACTGTGCGCTGTTGGTACACGGAGGCAAGAAAGCGTGGTCCTGTTCCGTGAGAGAAAGGAGCAGGATGAGGAGCGGCAAAGGTCTGGTTCACGGTGCAGCGTTCGGGGTGTTGTCCTGGGATGTCACATCATCTGGAGGAGGTTGTACAGCCCCTCTGCGTACATCGGGGCTGGGCACTGCTTCTTCCCACCCCAACCCAGCTGCGTTTGCATCTCCTCCTCCTCTCAAACCCCTGCCCTCGAGCTGCGGGTCTGCTGCGCCCCCGGAGCATCGCTGGGTTCAAAGGGTTGGAAAAAAACCACTCAGATGCAAAACATGCAAAAAACTATTTTACTGACAAACAGCAAAGGACGGGCTGAGTTTCAGGAGCTGAACCGGTTCGTCTATTATACAAACATTTTATTGAAAGGGAAGGAATGGCTGAAATACACTCGCTCATTGACCCCAAGAAAATCACAGTGTGCTTTTTCTATCGTCTCCCCCACCCCCAGCTCTCTGCGGCCCCCGGCTGCTCCCCTCAGCTCCGGCGCAGCATCGTCACGACTCCCAGCGCGGCCGCTGGAGAACACAAACCGTAGGTGACATTTGCCTGTGCAAGCATATTGAATAAAAAAAAAAAAAAAAATTAGCCATTATTGCTTTTCAACCACAGTCGAGATGATTCTGTGATTAGACTCAGAGCAGAGGATAATCTCTCTCTCTGGCAGTACCAGCGTTGTCGTACCCCTTCCTGCCTGGTGCATGCAAGATCGGTTTGAGTGCAGAAAAAAAGAAAAGGACTAACAGTCAGGGAAAAGAGCCCTCCCAGGTTTTGTTATTGTATTCTCACTGCAGAGCACAACTGGAAAAAAACCAAACAAATAATCTTCCTAAACTCTGTGCTCTGTCCTGCCTTGGTCGTTGTGAG